TACCAGTAAATGACAATATATCTGAAATCTACATGGATTTTGAACCTCAATAATCTCTTCCACATTCTGATACCTGAACCAAGTCATGAGTGGCTATTGTGTGTGGCTTCCCTTTGGGCAGAGGAAAGAGCACTGCTCTGGGGTCTGGGGAAATGGAGTTTGATAACCAATTCCACACATGACTATCTATGGGAGTTTACCACTTCCCTCTGCCTCCTAGACCACCTCCAAAATGGGAGAATGGGCAAGTGAAATTTCTGATAGCTCTTGAAGAGTTAAATCGCTATAAACCTGTGAATCTCTTATTTTAAAATCTTCAGATACAACTTAAGCAAATTTAACTGAAGCAGGGGAAAAAAATCTGTTTTCAGGGTTGTCTCTACCACACATTTCTTAATCTCAAGGAACCCTTGAAATTGTGTATTTTGTGCATTTGGGAATCTCTGCATTTTGGTGGGAGAAGATTAATGCCTTAGATTAAAACCTTAGATAGGTGTGTGATAACCATGTATTTATATTTTATATTATATGTATTATATTTTATATTATCTACAAAATGTATTTATATTTTGTATTATATGTTTATATAATAAAAAAGAGGTTAAGAACCTACCACTAGGTTGAGGAGTTTAAATGTAAATCACCCTGAGTGACTTCCTGGTTCCCCACCCCTATAACCCCAGGTTATAGTGTTTATCAAGGGCAGACAGTGGGAAGCCCTAGATGCCAGCTTCTGGACCAGAGGAAAAGAAGGCATCAAGCTTTACCTTTCAATCTGCAGCTGTCACTACGTTGGTCTGCCACAAGTATAACAGCCACATGATCTCAGGAATGTACTAACTCTCTTGGAACCACGGTCTTCTCATCTGTCAATGGACAGTGGTTACGCCCCTCTCAAAGCATTGTTGTGAAGAATAAAAGAAAATGAGTAAATGCTTGGCTCTCAGTAGAAGCTCAATAAATGTGAATTCTTTCCTAGCACTAGTCACTCAGGTCCCAAAAATTTACTACTTGGAAGACAGTTCCCTCTTCAACAATCAATCCACTCCCTTCCCCAAATGTAAATTGGGAGAGTCACTTTGGAACACAGTATGGAGGTTCCTCCCAAAAATTAAAAACAGAACTACCATATGATCCAGCAATTCCACTTCTGGTTATATAGCCAGAGCCAATGAAAATACGATATCAAAAAGATATCTGCACATCCATGTTCATTGCAGCATTGTTCACGAGAGCCAAGATATGGAAACAGCCTAAGTGTCCATCAATTGGTGGATGGATAAAAAAGATATAGTATACATATACGATGGAATATTATTCAGCCAAGAGAAAGAAGGAAATCCTGCCACTTGCTACAACATGGATGAAACTTGAGGGCATTTTGCTAAGTGAAGTAAGATAAAGAGAGAGAAATACTATATGATATAGCTTATATGTGGAATCTAAAAGCCAGAGATTGGGGACAGTGGAATGGGAAGATGTTGATCAAAGAGTACAAACTTCCAGTTATAAGATAAATAAGTTCTGGGGATCTAATGTACAGCATGGTAATTATAGTTAATAATACTGTATTATATACTTGAAAGTTGCTAAGAGTAGATCTTAAATGTTCTCACCACAGAAAAGAAATGATATTTATGTGACATGATGAAGATGTTTGCTAACACTAGGATGGTAATCATTTTGCAATATATATCAAATGAGCACATTGTATACCTTAAACTCATACAAAGTTATTATGTCAGTTATATCTCAATAAATCTGGGGGGAAAAATCCACCCCCTCCAGTGCTTCCAGGAGAAAAGTGTGACACAGCTGCTCAGTGCTCAACTTTAGATAGACCTGCAGTTGGATCAAGTTCCTAGCTTCTCTCCATGATGGCTATGTGGACTTGGGCAAAGGGTTAAACTTCGCTGTACCTTGTCCCATCCACAAAATGGAAATGATGATGAGAATAGCCCTTCTTTCTTAGAATTATGAGAAAATGCAAAATGTATTTAGCGCACTGTTTGGGACATAATAAGTGTTGAATAAATGTCAACTACCATAAGGCTCTCCCTCAGCCCATATCTTCTCTCCTAAGTACCATATGCCCACCTTTAGGAGCGTGTCCCTATAACTGAATGTCCAACATGAATATCAGACAGAAAAGGAAAAAAATCAATAAATAATCCAGATTTCGCAAGTCCCTTCCCCAAATGCCTGGAGGTCTCTTTCGCAGCCACCACCACCACCCCCCTCACCCCATATAGCCTAGTAACTCGTCCCTCATTTCTTTCAGGTCTTGACTCAAACTTATCATTTCAGTGACATTTAAAATTTCAAATACCGCTCCCCACAACACACATACACACACACACACACACACACACATACACACACCCCATTCCATTTCCCCCTCCTTGCTTTATTTTCTGTTACACCTGTCAGCATAGGACACACCTCATAATTGGCTTATTTATTATCTGTCTCCTCCCAGTAGAGTGTAAGCTCATGGAGGGCAGGGGTCTTTGTCTCCTTGGTTCAATTGCTATGCCCCCAGTGCAGGCAGTGGGGACTCGTTAACAATTTGTTGAATGAATAAGTGAGTGAGTGAGTGAGTGAGTGAGTGAGTGAGTGAGTGAGTGAATGAGTGAATAAACGAATGAAGAGAAGCCTCTGGACTTTATTACCAGACCAGAGAGGTTTCACCAGGAGGTAAAGGCGGGAAGGGGTGGGGAATGTCTCACATCTGACTCAAATCCCTCTCACCTGCCTAACCTTGCAATCCCTTTAGGCGCCACACAAGTTGCATATCCCCCTAAATCTGGGTGCTGACTCCAGACGCCCCCCATTAGCGGCAAACACCCCATGCCACTTCTGAGACTGAAGGGAGACTAGAAGGGGTAAGAATCCCAGCGGGCCACCTCAGGGTGGGGGACGGGGGTCCCCACGCTCAGGTTGCTCCTAACCGCTTTCCTAGCCCGAGGCTTGCGTCGGTTGGTGGGGGGGCGGGGGGCGGGCAGCGGGGTGGCGGTGGGGGGGGCGCGCGTCCGGCCCCCCGGGGCTGCCCAGGGCGGCGACGTCGGGGCTGCGGGCGCCTTCGCTGGACCCGCATTGCCCCCTAGTGCCGCGCCGAGTCAGGGCGCCGGGCTCCCCCGCCTGATGTCACCGCCGTGCAGTCAGCCCAGAGGCGGCTCATTACAAGCAGACCCTCCTCGGCGCTGGCTGGGCTGGGCGCCGCCGCCCGCACACGCGCCGCGGGCCGGGCCGAGCCGGGCGCCCCCTGCCCGCGCCCCTCCCCCGCCGCTCCCCGCCCGCCCGCCCGGCCCGGCGCGCCTGACGTGGACCATTAAACTTGGAGCTGCCGCCTCTGCCCCTCTCGCCGCCGCCTCCCTCTGACAGCCGGCGAGCGGGAGGCTCGGTGCAGGCAGGCAGGAGACGCGCCGCCGGGCTGGGCTGCCCCGGGCAGGGGAGATGACTCCTCGCCCGGAGGGCGCCTCTGGGAAGAAGACCGCGGGCGAAGCAAAGTTGCAGGGCAGCTGAGGAGCTTGGCCGCAGCCCTTCCAGCCCGCTCACCCCAGGCTATGGAGGGCCGACTCTAAAATGAATCCCGATCTGGACACCGGCCACAACACATCAGCACCTGCCCACTGGGGCGAGTTGAAAAATGCCAACTTCACTGGCCCCAACCAGACCTCGAGCAACTCCACACTGCCCCAGCTGGACGTCAGCAGGGCCATCTCCGTGGGCCTGGTGCTGGGCGCCTTCATCCTCTTTGCCATCGTGGGCAACATCGTCGTCATCTTGTCGGTGGCCTGCAACCGTCACCTGCGCACGCCCACCAACTACTTCATCGTCAACCTGGCCATTGCCGACCTGCTGCTGAGCTTCACCGTGCTGCCCTTCTCGGCCACCCTGGAGGTGCTCGGCTACTGGGTGCTGGGACGGATCTTCTGTGACATCTGGGCCGCCGTGGATGTCCTGTGCTGCACAGCCTCCATTCTGAGCCTGTGCGCCATCTCCATCGATCGCTACATTGGGGTGCGCTACTCCCTGCAGTACCCCACGCTGGTCACCCGGAGGAAGGCCATCTTGGCGCTCCTCAGTGTCTGGGTCTTGTCCACGGTCATCTCCATCGGGCCCCTCCTTGGGTGGAAGGAGCCAGCGCCCAACGATGACAAGGAATGTGGGGTCACTGAAGAACCCTTCTATGCCCTCTTCTCTTCCCTGGGCTCCTTCTACATCCCTCTGGCAGTCATTCTGGTCATGTACTGTCGAGTCTACATCGTTGCCAAGAGGACCACCAAGAACCTGGAGGCCGGAGTCATGAAAGAGATGTCCAACTCCAAGGAGCTGACTCTGAGGATCCACTCCAAGAACTTTCATGAGGACACCCTCAGCAGTACCAAGGCCAAGGGCCACAACCCCAGGAGTTCCATAGCTGTCAAACTTTTTAAGTTCTCCAGGGAAAAGAAAGCAGCCAAGACCTTGGGCATTGTGGTCGGTATGTTCATCTTGTGCTGGCTACCCTTCTTCATCGCTCTACCACTTGGTAAGTTGGGGACTGGCAGAGGGGAACTGGGTATTTTCAGATCTCCGGTCTGCTGCTGAGCTTACTGTAAAGTTTTTTGTGGGTTTTGTTTTTTTATGCAGTCTGTGTGTGTTTGGAGAGTGGAGAATACTGTTTGTTCTGCAAAGGCTTTGCAGACTGGGTAAGCTGGCTAAGAACCAACTCAGGTGTGAGTGGAACAAACTAAGTAAGGTGCTAGTCACTTGAAATAGAACGACAGGAGGAAAATCTGGTACGTGGAATGACTCATTCAACAGCGTCAGTTTAATAATTAAGAAGGACACTGGACTTGAACATCACACCAGCGTTATCTCAGTAGTAGTGATGTGCCGGCTAAGGCAGCGTCACTAATGCAGCATACAAAATAGTTTGTAGTTACCGCAGTCACGGCATTTGGGAAGCAGGCAGGCAGCTCGTACGCAGAAAGGCAGTTTTCATTCAGCATTTCCAGGGCTCTTGCAGAGACCCACGCTCCCCATGAGCTTTGCAGAGGCTGCGTCCTCCCCTCCTCCCTTCACTGCTTGCTCTCACCTCAGTGTACTGCCTTCGTTATGAGTTAGGAAGAACATTTTAACAGCCACGTCGCCCCAGTCAGCCTTTGAGTTATCTAAAGCTTGAGAGTTGAAAGAGAAGGAAGACAGAGGGTCACATGTTTTCAGTTTTTACCCGAAAATGTTCCTAACTCTGATGATTCATGGAATACCCAGATTTAAATCACAGTGGTCCCTCACCTTAGGCTGCCAGACACCAAATCGTGCTGGGATGAAATTGAGTTCTTCCTCTCCTATACAAATATGTCCATCTTCTTTTGTTTAGAGGTCTCACTAAGTTGTTCAAAAAGCTTCCTGATTTTTCCTAAGAAGACAAGGTCTGGTTAGGAGGGAAACTTAGAGGAGGGTACCGTGACATGCTGTCCACATGGCTTGGGAAACACTTGTCCCTTTTCTGAGGCACTGATCTACTGTGGTTTCCTCTCCCATCCCTGGGGGACACTCCAGAAAATGAATGGAGGGAGGCAATCATTCCAAAGTCATGTGCCATGATATCAGAAGAGGTAACGGCTGCCACATGCCATGGACCATATATGCCTGCAATGACACCCGGGGCTCCGTTAGAACCGAACATAAGCAAATCCCTCAAATAACTAAAATTCTGCAGACACACTGCTTTCACCAGAAAAGGGTAAATGGAAAGAAAGCAAATTGACATCAGGAGTTTCCATTTAAAAAAGATAAAGGAAAAAAGGTGTTTAACCTACTCTCCATGTTGTCATTTCTGAGGCAGGCTTGCAAGTTAATGCCTTTTAGAAATATTTTTAGTCTGTTACGTGGGAAGCGTTTGAAGCTGTACCTCCCCACCCCACCCCCAGAGTGGTCACATCTCACTGCAGAGAAGCTTTCTTTTTTTCCCAAGGTCTTAGGGTCCTTTTGCAAACTTGTTGGGTTAAAGTGGGTAACAGTTCACACTGCTTTGGGCTATATAAAGATCATGGTTGTATGTGGAAGTGATTTGGTCATGCCTTAGCTATGGACCACCAGTCTGTGAGCCTCAGTTTCTCCATCGGCAAAATAGGGCTAATTACTATTTGCTTCATGGGGTTTGCACTAATGCATGGAAAGGACTTAATGCAGTGTCTGGTGAACAGCAAAAGCTCAATGAAAGTTAGCTTCGTACTACAAACCAAATCCCAATTGCCCCTCAGTTATAACTGTGTTTCTCCTTCTCTATTCACTGGCCAATCCCACACCTATTATTAAAGGCTTAGAACGGAGTTTTTCTCCTTTCTTCCTTCTGCCTCTGCCCCCCCCCCCCCAGCCTGCAGAGGCTATGACCAGAGCATCCTCAGGAAGGAGAAGGCCCCAGCAAGATGCAGGGAATGGATCAAAAATGCAAGCTTTCACTTTAGGGGGCAATGGAAACAGGTCCAAACAGGTGAAGAGGCTGCCTGCATGCCGAAATGGAAAGAGCACTGCCCTGGGGATCAAGGGCAATAGAGTTCTCATGTGAGCTTTGCCATCAGTCCAACCCTAGGCTTGTTGCTTTACCTCTCTGGACTTCAGATCTCACTTCCAGGGAACAAGAGGGTTGGACTAAATCAAGGGCTCTCAAACTTTATTAAAGATCAGAATCATCTGTGGAACTTGATAAACATTCAGCTTCTTAAACATAATCCACAGGTAATCTGATTCAGCAAATCGGATGGGTTCCAGGAATCCTCATGTTTAGCCCACCAGGTCATTCTGAAGGGGAGGTCCACAGACGAGGCTTTGAGAATCACTGGCCAGAGGGTCTCTCAGCTCCCTTCGGGCCCCAGCCTCCTGGACCCCAAGGTTTCAAATGCTGCAAAGCTTAGCCCTTCCCCAGGCACTCGGTGGTGCAGGATGATGTGGCTTCTCTGTGGGTCCTGCTCTTCAAACTCACCCTCAGCTTCTTCTCATTCACCCTATCTCTGCTTTTCCTCCCTTTCTGTTCGTGACTGTCTGAGACCATAACCCCCGAATATCTCAGGTCCTTGGCTTCCATGGCCTGCTCTCAGAGCTTGTTTCCCCTCCTCTTGTTTCTGCCGTGAAACCTGTCTGAATAGCCCTGCCACCATCTCCCAGAGATGTCCCCAGGTGCTGTCCCTAAGCTACTCTGCCTGCATCCTCTCCCTTGGTTGCCCAAGCCTTGGCAGGTAAGAAATATGGACTCCAGGCCTTGGCTTTGGGATGGACTTTGAAAGGTACTCAAGAGCTTCAAACAGATTAGGTGCTTAATTAGCATGTTCTTAATCATTTAGGAAGACCATCCCAGCAAAATGGAGATGTGGGTTTTTCTGCTTCCCCTGAGTTCAAGTAACACCCAAACAATGGGAGCATGATGTAGAACAGTAACTCTTTTGGAGTCTGAATAAGATTCCAAATTCAAAATTTTCCATTAACTGCTTTTCGCTCACAAGGAGAGAAAGCAGATCTAGGGGGAGATAGTCATTGGGAAATGCAGGTAGAAGGAACTTCCAATTAGCGACAGACTTCCAGGTGCCTGGATGGCATGAGATTTCCATAGCTGTGTTTGTCTTCTCTGTGGGAGAGAAGGGTTGGGATCCCTCCTGGGAAGGAAGGAAAATAGCCATGCCCTCTGCATGGTCCTGGGCAGGGGCCCCATTTGTTTTCCTTCCTCCCTTATTTTTATTTTTGGGAACAGGGTTGGGCTGCCTGTGGGGCTGGGCCCCTCATCTCCTGTGGAGCTCTCCCCACCTGTAACACCCTCCCTACCTCCTCCCCTGTGGCCTCAGACCAAATCAGGCCAGGGATCAGCTCTCACTTACTCGGGAGCAGGGATGGACTCCACCAAACAAGGACCTCTTTATTCAGCCCCTGGAACTGGGCCATGGAGGGACAGGAAATAATTGGAATATAATACAGCAGCGTTTCTACTCAGTGGGCCATATGCAAGATGTCCAAGGAATCTTCCGCTGCCAGGCATTAGAGTGAAGGCTGGCTCCTACCCACCTGGGGAAGACCTGGTCAGGGTCTCGGAGTGGCTGGGCTACTGAAGAATGTGCATTGCATTGTGGGGATAGATTGGAGTTGGGGGGCGGTGCACGGATAGCAGGGAGTGCTGAGCAGCCAACTGGTAGCTGGGTTTAGTGCGTTGCTTAGAAAACACTGGAACCTTGCCTCACTCCAGATCTTTCTTCCGTCTTTTAAAATGCTGAAAGGCACCAGGAAGCCATTATTGAACTAACTGCTTTCCCCTCCAAATAAATGAAGGTCAATTTCAAAGAAACAGTTGTGTTCTCATAGTACCGGGACCAAATAGGAATCCCTCTTCTCCATTGATTTGTGTCTCTAGTCCTCTCATTCAAATCGGGGCTGATGAATTCCTGCACAGGGAAGGGTGAGGGTCTCAGAGATGACTCAGGACAGGGCCACCCCCACAAATACACAGACTAACCCTTCAGCTCTGAGGTTTTGAAACACAGGGATTTGAGGTGCTCACAAAGAAAGCAATTGGCTTGAGTGAGGGAGAAATTTTTATACGCAGGGAATCCTTCCTGGAAAAGGAAAGTCCTTCTGAAGGAAAATACATTCAACCATTTATGAATTCATTAATAAAGACTTCTAACACACCTACTATGTGCTACATGGCTTTTGTCTGCAGGATGTTTACAGCCTCGTGAGATCATATTTTTATGAAGCAGGTACTATGTGCCAGACGTTCTTCTAGGCTCTTTGCAGACATTATCTCATTAATCCTCACAGCTGCCCTGACAGGGGAGAATAATTGCTCCCTCTCTAAAGATGAATATGCAGGAGCTCAGAGAGGTTAGTCTTCTTGCCCCAGGTCACACAGCAAGTAAATGATAGAGCCAGGGGTTGAATCCTGGTCTGTCAAGACAGGCACATAGCTGTTCCACTGACTGCAGCTAGGAGATGTCTGGCCTTCTTGTTCCCTGGTTCCAATCTGCTCTCATAACAAATGTGCTCCGAAACTCCAGAGCCACCTTGTCAAAAGCTGGGTATTGTACTTCTGTTACAAAGCCCTGTCTTTCTTCTGCTCCCCACTCACCCCTGCAAAAAGACTCACCCAGAAAATGTCAGGGAAGGTCATCCACATTCTAGCTCAGGGCTAGATTTGCTCCACACCTCTGGCACTGTGTAGGATGTGGGTCTCCTGACGCTGGGCCTTTCATCACCCCAGCCAGAGGAAAAAGAGGGACCTTCCCTCCATCTGAGAATCTGGCTCTACGTCTTGACTCATTCATTCATTCATTCATTGAATAAATATGTATTGGATGCCTACTGTGTCTGGGTACTGTGCTAGAAATACAGTGGTGAGCAAAACAGCTATGTTCCATGTCCTCAGAGGATTTAGTTCTAGTGGGAAACACAGATCATTTGAAAATCACATGCACACAAATAAACATGACCACAAATTGTAACAAACAACCTGAAAGTAAAGGGGTGAGATGCTATTAAAAGTAAATAACAAGAGCCAGC